AAATATACTATTGGAAGAAAAATCTTTCTATTTTATTTTGTAGAGAGAAATTCTTTTCTTTTATTTCAGAATAAAACAAAATATTATCTTATCCACTTGATTGGTTAAAATGTAGAAGAAAAAAAACTTTTATCTTCCTTTCCTCTATAAATGTATTTCAGTCAGACCTTTAGTCACAAATCTTAATCTCATGGGCGTAAATTTATAGACATTGGAAGTCTTTCATGAAATCTATATGAGTGAACATTACATCTTTAAATCAAGGGTAGGAGCTAACAAATTGTTTCTCATATCGTCTGTAGATCTTTAACATACTTAACAGCAAAACAAAACACATAGCTCTCCAATGGAATAAAACATATATTAAATCTGCTACAAAATAACTGATTCAAAAACTAAATCAATCTTCACTGGCAAAATATATCTACCATCAATTTATAATAAATCCACCATAATTTCTTAATCAAATACACTTTCTTTTAAAGCAAGCAAATCTGCGATCAAACATTCTTAAGTTATAAAAATCAACCATCAATCATTTCAATTCAGTGAATAAATCTATAGTCAATTGTTAATGTATCACCAAATTCTACAAACCTCAAAATACATCATCATTTTTTTCTCAATAGAATCATCAAAATCGTCGTCAGAATCTGCTTACTATATATATATATATCAGAAGAAAACAAAAATTCTACTACACTACCAAAAAAATAGAAGACTAGGGTTTCGAGATTTTCAAAAAAAATTCTCATTCTCATCGCAATCGCCGCTTTTCTCCACTCTCACTGTTGAGAATGCGGGAGAAAATGTAAAAAAAACTGCTAAAAGGTGAAACACAAAGCCATTCGTAAAACCCAATCTATGTAATTCTTTTTTATTATTTTTCAAAATGGTATTCTTATAATTAAAATTTTTTATCGAGATAATAAAGACTTTACAAACTTCTTAGCATTTTTTTACTCTTTCCGTTTCTGAAAGAATGTCATTTTTACTATATTCACGCGAATTAAGAAAAATTGTCAAAATATACAAATATGCTCCTATTTAATATATTATTAATTAAATGATTATAGTTTAAATTCAAAGAGATCTAGCATTTAATATGGAGTAAAATACAAAATGCATGTGAAAAGTCA